CATGACAAACAGCAAGGCTATGGCTAACAAGTTAACGTACTGACACTCCTCAGACAGACAGACAGACAGACACACACACACACACACACACACACACATACATACATACACACATACATACATACATATATATATATATATATATGTATGTATGTATGTATGTATGTATGTATGTGTGTGTGTGTATCTAAAGTGCAATATGACCCATTTCAGTGTGTGTATTGTACTTTAGGACGGTCCCTAACTACTACTAGTCACATGCGCATTGGCAAGACATTCATTTCATGTCAACTGCATCATCATTTCTGAATACTTTGAGCTGACAAAACTGTGACATACCTGCCTAAATTAGCTTTCCAACATATCCAAAAACCTGAGAAACTGAGGCGTTGATACAGAGCTATTAAAGATAATAGCCACAAAAGACGGTGAATATTAAATATGCTGTCAAACTAACTTTACCCGTCTAGATCAGGATGTCATAATTACGAGATCTTATCTTGCAATTATGAGATAAGCTGTCTTTTTTTTTTTTTAATTCAGTGAATGCAGTGCACTTCCATAACAAATTCAGAAATTTTAATACTTTTATTAAGGAATAAATACTTCCAAACCCCTGCAAATACAACATGAAAAAGTTCATCTTTAAACTAATTAAACAATTTTTAAATATCAAAACATACAGATCATGTTGTAACAAAAGGACAAGATTGCTCAATCAATACAAAGCCCTGTGACAAGTGAGATGTTGTCAAAAATACACTCTCAGGTTCTAAAGTCCTAATGTGTTAGTATTACAGTAAGTCTCCCTTAATTCTTCCCTTTTCAACACATCTCAGAATAGCTGAGCGCAACACTTTTCTTTTCACGACATTTCAGTCCCTGAAAACATTTTCTCAATCAGCATCTTCAATACCTTTTTGGTTATTTTACATGGCAGATTTCTGTATTCTGCTTTTCCACACAAGTTTGATGTGTGAGGTCACATACTTCAACATAAAGTGAAACACTGCATAGATGTAATTGTGCAGAAATATTTGCCACCAGTTTGGATTGATTGATGTTTCAGTGCCTTGCCAAGACATTTAAGAAGGCTACCCATAGGTCAATCACAAAATCTCATTACTTGTTCAGCACATTAGTTTTTAAAGTATCTGTCTGTGTTTCAATTCTAAGTTAATACAGTGCATCATCACATACTATGCCTATTTAGTTTTGTAGGGTTCCAAGTTTAGTGCTTGGAGCCCTACAGTTACCACCTGTGACTATATGTCGCGTGAGTGTGGAGCACAGAGAAGCAGTTAGAGCTACAGGCTACAGTGAGGCTAAAAACAGAGTTCATATGACGTTTTTCGAAACAACTTTTTATGTCGGGGCTGCAGCACACTTGGATCACTACGGATGAGCAGTATGGAGATACTTTGTGGATTCAATTTTGTGTTCTTGGACGTTAGTCTGGGGCGCCGTCTGCCATTAAGTGTTCTAGCCGCTGCTACCGCCGATCTCCGCAGGGGATGTGAGGACTCTAAAACTTCACCAGGGCCTCCATCGGCATATGGGTGAGTAGATAATGGCTGAATTTTCATTTTTGGGTGCACTATCCCTTTAATTGTTGGCATTAATTAATGACTGCATTTATATCCACCTTATTTTCAAACACGGAAGTAAATAGTGATCAACTTTGGTTTTTTTGTGTGAGACTTCCGGTCAGCCGCTTTCCCTCATGCTTTCCCTTACCGGAGCTAACGGTGCAAGCTAATTTTTTTTCAATTTTCAGTTGTTTCTGTTAGTCAGTCAGTTAGTTAGTTAGTTAGTCTGTGTATTTTATATAGATAACTGTGCCCACGTTTCCGTAACGGAAATTTATTCCCTCTAAACGCGAATAAATCGCACGTCAATCATAAACTATGAACCAAAAAAGCACAATCTATCCCGAGTAAGACAAACTGCTTGATCCCCGTCTCCAGTGTACCAGCAGAGAACCTGCAGAACCGAATCAGCGAAAAAACACACCGGGCTAAGCCTCTCTACCTGAGCAGCTGAAGCTGCGGCTCGCACCCTCGACACACAGACGGTGCTTCTGCATGCCAGCCAAACGTGTGCGCAACTGTGAGAAATAAATATGTGAGGTGTACGCTGCTTTTCTATCTTTTTTTTCCTTTTCTTTCTTTCTTTCTTTCTTTCTGTCAGCGACATACACTCCTAACACAGGACGGGTTGTTTTAATTGACTGAGTTGATCATTAAGCCATAGTGATGTGCAGATTGGCTCTGATAGCACCCGAATCAGCATGTAAGCATCAACCATCCAGCCGTTACAACATAATTGAGCTAGCAAAGCAGTCTTGTGTTGCTATGTGTGGTATTTATTCAGTTATGGGAAATCACAATGTCTAGAAACATCAGTGGCTGCTGGCAGGGACAGCTAACACTAGCAGCAAAGCTAACATCAGGACGTCATCCGTTAAAAGCCTCCCGTTGTCGGATACAACATGAAACTACTCCAGTTAGCTCAATCATGTGGTAACTAAGACATCGGCAGGAAAAAATATTTTTTTCACGGGCCACTTTGTGAGTTTAGTGAGTTATTACAAACACCGCTAACGGCTAACAGCTAACAGCTAACGGTTAACCCAGCTTATCTACGATAACCATGTTATTAATTACACACACAGAAATAGTAATGTTTGTTCAGTCATTGTGTTTATAGACTTTACAAACATCAGATTAGTCTAAATGGTGATACAGTGACGTGAAAAATGTGATATATACATATATATAGCTAAACTCAGCAAGGTAAACAACAAGGCGATTCCCATTTACACAGTGGTAAGAGTGCTGGACCGAAAGTGTCGCACAAAAAACGGAAGCTGGCTGCGTTCTGTTTTGCCTCCGTGTTTCTGTGAAAAATAAGGTGGATAGAGCTTTCCTTGTCTTAGCAACCACTTGGAGTGCTTTACGACAGTCATCATTCACACCACATTAATATACTGCTTGCCGAAGCTACTGTGCAAAGGACCACCTGCTCATCAGGAGTGATAATCATTCACACACACTCATATGCTGATGGGGGGTTCAGTATTTTGCTCAAGGACACTTTGACATGTAGGCCTCTAGTTTCGCAGACCAGGTGAGGCAGGTGTGGCCAGGCGGATTTTGCAAGTTTGGCACATCGTGCGCGCTGGCGCAGCTACTCCTCTTTCCCACCTCCGTCCCTCCTACTTGCGCAAGTCAGAAAGAGGGAGGAGAGAAGGCGTGGAGTGGGTTTTACACAGCTGATTCACATCACACCAATCAAATGAGCCCCTCTCCTCGCCCTTAAATGCACTGCGCGAAGGCGTAATGGGAGTTTACTCAATTCGCCATGGCAGAAGAGAGCAGCAGCGTCAGACGGCCAAACTTCTCCCAGGAGGAAACTGATGTTTTGGTCCGGGATGTTCAAGCTCGCAGTGTCCAAATATACAGAACTGCGAGCAGACCTCCGCGGGCTGATGATGCAAAGGTAGCCTGGGAGGAGGTCACCACAATTGTAAATCAGTGTTGTCCAGATACACTGAGAAAGCGCTCTCTTTTCTCTCTCGCAATCTCACTCTGTTTCTTTTCTTTTGACTTTTCTAAGTTGACAGATGCTGAATATATACTCCCTATCTGATGCTGTGGCTGTTTGTGGTTGGCTGAGAGGGATGTGAACTCATTAGTTTGCAGCTGTGTTAATCAAATCAGGTTGGGTTTCCATTACGCATGCCAAACGGTGCCAATCCTTTGATCTGACATCAGATGCGACGGGGCAGTCGATATAGAGATACATTTATGTGCTGATTGCAGATAGTTGCATTGAATAGTGGTTTTTGTGGGTATATTGCATTGTTAATGTGCCTGATATTCTGGAAACTTGCCTGTGTGCGCACTGTCCGCCGATCAGCCAAACTTCCACTTACACTGGCTGCGCTCCGCCTGCGCTCAGTGTTGCCAACTTAGCGACTTTGTCGCTATATTTAGCGACTTTTCAGACCCCTCTAGCGACTCTTTTTCAAAAAAGCGACTAGCGACAAATCTAGCGACTTTTTCTGATGTTATTGAAGACTTCTGGAGACTCTGTTGTGAGAGCACGTATCATTCTTAGTCTTCTCAACGGGCAGCGGATGCTGCCGTGAGCTCCTCTCTCGCCCCAAAGCACTCACAGACGGCCCAGTCCTCCCTCCCAGCAGCAGTCAGAGCAGGAGACGTTAATCCCTCCACGTCCAGACTGCAAGTGAATCGCACATGCGCGGAACTGCCGCTGGCTGATCTATCGCTCTGATCCCGACCTGGTTTACAGTCAGGGCGGGATGTAAATGTAAAATTTTCTTTGTCTAATATAAATCACTGAAAAAAGGTTCATTTGTAGTTCTAAACATATTCAGGGTGTTTTTTTTACTCAGTTTTTGTCTCTCCCACGATGTTATTCCTCTCTCCTACAGCATCCATTACAATTAGCGACTTTTAGGACAGCCAATAGCTACTTTTCTTACTGAGGAGTTGGCAACAGTGCCTGCGTTGACAGTAGACCTGGTTTCAGCTGGCGAGCTTTTAGCGCACCTTCGGCAAAGCCTTTTGGCACGAAACTGTCACTGCGCCAAGCCGGATCTGTCGACACCTCCCCCTGCTGCACCACCACTCAGCGCACCTCGGTCTGCCAAACTACCAAACTGAGCGCGCCTCGGGTTGTGCTGCTCGAAACTAGCTCTGCGCGGGGTTTGCCACCCTGCGCCGCGCCGGAAAACTAGAGGCTGTAGACTGCAGAGGCTGGGGATTGAACGATAAAAGTGGAGGACCGCTCAGCCTCCTGAGCCACAGTCGCCCCATAAATTTGAATGAATTCACCATCATTCAGTGATGCTTGCTTTTTGATTGCAGATGACAAAGTAGGGGCAGAATTTTATCTTGGCTGTATCACTAACTGGCCAGTCTGTTTTTTTCAGGTGATTGTTTCAGCTGGCTGTGGACCAAGTTATGGCCAATCTAAGACCTACAAGCAAAAAAACAATGATGGTTAAGTTTTACAGAATATGCCTGCATAAAAATATTGTCTTGCTAAGCACAGTGTCTCAAGTTGTTTGAGTCTTAAATCTGTAATATTTGTTTTTGTTAGGCACCTATTCAAATTTTGAAACTTGAAAGTGTATAAGGGTTTAGACCATTATGGTGGAAGTATATATGATGGCCATTCACATGTTCAATTATGTCTTATACATTGTTGCAGTGATTTTTTTCCTGGGTTGTTACCATTTGTTACACAGATTTGGTGCAAAATGTAACTGTTTTTCTTTCTTTTCCTTTTTTACCATTCATGAATTGATAAAAATAGTTTAATATCCCTCCAAAATACCACATAAAACACCAAGGCCTTGAAGAACACCACAGAAAAATCACACTGTGATTTGGTAAAAAAATGTTTTTGACATTTGAAGATTTCTGCAAGAGCATTTTTTTTGCCAATTGAATGGCAAGCACTTCTGTTCTGGAAACTGCTGGTCTCTGCCGAGACCCTCTTATTGTCAATATACCAATGAAAGCCATCCATACTCTGAACACCAGAGGTTTTTTGTTTGTGGCTGTAAAGTTTTGAGACGCTGTGATTATCCTACAGATCACTGTAGATCATTGTATACAGTCGAAATTAAAAATCTGATGTCACTACAATTAATTGGCTAAGTTAAGTTGAAGCTAAATTGATTTATCCTGAGGGATCCAGCTAAAAACTAAACTTATAGGTGGTTGCCAGTTTGAAAGTCTAAGATGGCTGCCACAGAGACTTTAAAAATAGAAAGATTGGTTTTGAGGTTCATCAGCCTCTAAGCTTTCCAAAAATGTATAGTTAAACAACTCTACAAAAATTTCCCAGGACATTATAAATCTGCCTATTAGATGAATCCCCACATTATCGACCACAAAGTGCCATTATATCCATAAAAATATATTTCAATTAATAACTGCTATTTTTCAGCACTGAGCTTTCAATTCCATGATGTCTGCAGATTAAAGAAACAAACACTCCTGGTCTGAGTGTTGTCATCCCTGTTCATGTCAGTCAGAGGAGTAGATGGAAAGAGAATTAGCTCATGTCCTCAAATCTCCTTTGATCCATTCAAACACCATTTTGGCTACTTCTCTTCCTGCATCCAGGACAAAGGCATGATGGAATCCTTTATCACACAGTCTGAAATCTCCTCGTGGAAAGTCCTGCTTGATGTCATGATAATATTGAACAGGGCACCAGTGGTCTGTAGCTCCATAATAAAATATGAGCTGAAAATGGAAACACACAGATAGTGAAGTCTATTTCTGGATTGAATACACAATAACAGCTCAAATAAACCAGTAACCGGTAAATCAAGCAAGCATGCTGTCTTTATGTCTCATGTGGCTTTTATGTTTTCAAATAATCACAAATAGCTATTAAGTGGAGAAACTTAACATTATGATTATACAGATGCAGCCACCTAGAATTTCTTGTTCCTCTGTGATGGGGCCCAGGCAGACCCGTGGTTGATCCCCGCTGGGACCTTGCTGGGTCCTTTGCTGTCTCATGGCTGGAATAAGATCCCCTGTGATGACTTAGTGAACGTGGGGCCGACTTGATACGCCTCTGAGTGTCATGTAAAAACCAGTAGCAATGTGTTATCCATCACCAGGTGGAGCAGTGGTTATGCAAGCCTAAGTGGTTCACTGCGCCTGAAATTAGCTGAGAGATCAGCTGTTCTCATCATATTTAATGTATCGGCTATGAAGAATTGTGCTTCCCACACAGAAATTATTATAATTACACCATGATGGTATCATGATGATCATGTCATGAGGATATAATGCTGTAGTTTTTTAAAACCTTGAAACAGATTGTGTTTATGCATGAAGCTTTAGTGAGAAGGCTGGAGGAGTTAATGACTAAGCTACCTTCTGTCCTGTCCATCACAGCTCGAAGAGAGACATTATTCAACAGATCTGCATGAAAACTAAGGCAATAGGCTGCAGGTCGGAAATGAATGACATACAATAAGAAATAACTGAGTGCACAGCATTCATGTGAGCAGCAGATTTGATCTGCAGTGATACCTCAACAGGCTGGGACAAACTGACACAATGTTTTTATACAAAGAAAGAAATAACTTCATGTATTATGTTTACAAAAAGCCATGTTTAATTACTACTATGTCGTAGACAGCGTTTTACAAAGCTTAGAGAGTTCCCCCCAAACTCAACAACTCATAAAACAGCATGATCCTTAAGGAAGTCTGGTATCTTTCTCTGCAGGCAGCAAGGGATCAAATTGTGGCTGTTAAATTTGACGTGTTTACTGTCAATACAGTTGCCTTCCTCATAAATACAATGTGATATAAAATCAGGTAAAATGTGCAGAGTGAAACATATGTTGCACTTGCAAAGTAAACCCTTAAAAACATAGCTGGCCCTAGACTTCTGGGGGCCCTAAACGGATTTTTGTTTGAGGGTTCTCATTATTGTAACACACTGCCACTTCACATGGCACTGAACCAACTTAAGTGCACATAATGTACAAATTACATGTACAGACTATTATGCAGAATGATCCATTCATCCAATCCAGAGTGGATTTCATATTTAATACTTTGTACACTGCTGGTTGGCTTAACCCATAAAAATATAGGCTACACTATGTAAATTTAGATCAATAAAAAAAAAAAAAAAAAAATACAAACACCAACTAACACCTGTTGACATATGGCTTTTTAATGTAATGGGGAAAGTTTTAATCAGATTTCACTCCTGGGTCAAATAACTCAGTGGAGTAGTCACAGGAATGTATTGGCTCTAGCTCTGATCAGCACTGATGGAAACATCCAAGTGAACTTGGTAATTTTAGCCCCTTAAATCGGTAAGATGCAATGACATGCCACCACAAGTCTGCACCAAATTTGACAGAGAGACCCAATAAGAAAGATAAGAGATATATAAAAAGAAGTAACCATAGTGACATTTTTACTGGCCTTGCTGTCTACTGTTAACTAACCTATTTTCTTGCCTGTCCATGTTGTCAAATGTGAAACCAATAAAAACAAACCAAAAAAAAAAAAAAAACCCACAAAGGCATGCTTATCTGCTGTAGAACCGTGCACACAGCTCTAGTCTACTGGCAAAAACTCACTAATACCTGCTAACATCTGGTTAGAATATATGCAGATCACATTATCCTGCCAAAATTAATGCATATATTTAAACGCTGGAAGATCCACTCATTACTAAAAGTGTATGTCATCAAAGAGAGAGCAAACTAATGGAATGGTCAAAGTTGTCGTATTGAAATTTAAGGTGTGCTGATGGATTCACATCATCAACTCATGCATTACAAGTAAACGTTCCACCTTAAAAGTTGCCAGCAATAGGTCCAGTGAATTATTATTATAGTAAATTGTAGGTGGCTGCATCTGTATGGGTAGGCTTTTTCTTACCTTTTCAAGATTTTTCTCAATGGTCATGTTGTCTCTTTCCAGAACTTTCTTCATTTCCTGACCCCCCATATACATAGCATTAGCTACAAATAGAAACAAATCACACTGGTCTAGTCGTTGCTTTACTTCAAACATTGCAGAAATATTAAATGACACAGGCTTGTAGTTTAAAACCTCTGGAAAGTATGTTTTACAGAGTAGATGAAAAGATTTTTTTAGAGGTGTTTTTAAAGGATTTTTTGGATGGGATTTTTTCTTCATCTGCTGTGAGGGTCCAAGGACAGAGGGATGATGTATGCTGTAAATCCGTGTACCCTTTGTTCTTTCGTTTTTGCACTTCAAAACCAAAACAGAATAAACATCTTGATTTCCTATTTTAAAACCAGAACAGAAAATCGGGACAACAGAACAACAGAAATCACACGTTTTGTAGTTTTTTTGTTTTAAAATTAAAACAGAAGAACGTGAAAATCAAGTTTTTAATTTCTTTGTTTTGTCATTGTGATATCTGGATAAATTTGGGGAATGCTGGGAGATCTGACTCTGTGTATGGGTCGTTCTTTCATTATTCCATTTCAAAACAAAATAAAAAAAAACAAAAAATTAAATCTGTTTTTCCCGTTTTTCTGTTTTGAAACAAAAACCAAAAAACACAAATACAGATAAACAAAAAAAATGGCATTTTTCTGTTTGGGAAATAAAAATGGAAAAACCCGACTTTGGTTTTTTGCAGATTCATTTTTTCATTTATTGTTTTGGACAAAAAGTCGAACTGCGGTGACATCAGAGGTGGAAGTAACTTCAAAATAAAAGACAGGAAGATAAGATTGCCTATAAAACTTATAAATATCCTATACAACTTTCCCATGTATCTTTTATTTCCACTTACACCTGATGTTTTGCACATTTTGAAAAGCTGGCCATTGCTGTGAGGAACTTTTTATTCATAAAAATAGAAATAAAATGTTATGATCACAAATTTTATGGATACAGTAAAACTTGTTCAACCATAACGTTGCTGTTGAGAGACTAATAAGGGAAATTGTCATGCATATTGTTCCCATGAAGGACGTATAGGGATTCCCTCAAAGGTTGTGTTTTAATATTCATTCGCCGAATTGTTTGCAATAAAGTAATCTAGGATATAATAAATTATTGTGTGTGCTGCGTTGTTACCGTTAATACTGGGTTTCTCCGTAAGGCATCGTTGCATCAGTGAAGTTTCAAACTGATGTTTGTCCTTTTCACCAGCAGATGGCAGTAGGCCTATGGATTTATTTGCTGTCAATGAAAGCCTGGTTTTCTCTTAGTTTCTGTTGGATTATACAGACCTGCAATTCTTCAGGTTATTGATACGGACAATTTAAATTATATGCAGCATATATTTACTTGTATTCTTTTATATTGTTGTATCACATAGGCCTATGCATTGTTGGCAGAGATGGGCAGCATTTTAATTACATGTATTTAAAATGTTTTATCACCTACTATGACAATAGAAATGTCATACAAAAATACATCCTGTGCCTTTTTTCAAAATCTGATTAATCGAATAAAATCATCAATGATTAATCCATTATTTTTTAAAAATATGTAAGTTAGTGGCAGCCCTAAATGTATGCAACACATCTGATATTATACATATATATATATAATATGTATATTTAACATTATACGTATTATTTTAACCTGTTAGTGTTTCTTGCAAAGCCCCTCACAAATACTAATAAATAAACTAATAAATAACTAATAAATACATGAATACAAACACCTTAGCTACTGTTGAACATTAGAATGTGACGAGGAACCTTTAATGTTCATATGAAGGCAAGTGAAGGAGCTGCTATGTTACGTTCTAATAACCTTTCCTATTTTAATTTAAACTTTTTTATGTCAACCTCCCAGTGAGGTGCAGTTTCCTCATCGCTGCCCTGTGCATTGAGGCCCTCCAGACTGGACCGCTATGGACGGAGTGTAGGGTGGTCCATTTGTATATGGACAAAGTGGACCTGTACTGGAATAACATAGTCTTGGAACAGTGAGCCTCGACAAATATCCACTTCATGAAAACTGGGATTAAAAAGTACAACTATGTTATCATTTATGACCTGGATGTGATTGTAAGTCCATAAAACCAAGCAACTGTATTGATGTCTGTGTTGTATTTGTTTAAATAGTCCTATAGAATGATGCTAGCAGCATTGTCACCCTTACGCTCCTCAGTTTGTTTATACTTTGAATATAACTAATCTAATGATCCAAACTGAATAATATTGAAGTGGCACAGTAATGACAGATTCAAAATGTAGTGTGTACCAGTTAAAGTTACTAGTATTAAGGCCAGGCTTGTGTTGACCACAACATGTGTGAAGTGGGGACCACAAGCAGTTTGATAACAAATCTTTAACAAATCTACAGTAATTTATTATATCCTCGATTACTTTATTTTATCATTATTATTATTATTATTATTATTATTATTATTATTAACCTTTATTTAACCAGGAAGATCCCATTGAGATTAACAACCTCTTTTTCAAGGGAGACCTGGCCAAGATAGGCAGCAGCAAGTATGAAGCACAGTTACAAATTACACAGATAAAACACAAACAAATAGTATTGTATTTACAGGCAGATTATGAAAAACAAGTACATGTAGTGGAGTCGGCCCCAAGTATTCTTAGTTTGGATTTAAAGGTGCTCAAAGAAATTAACCCTGTTAGTTTCCAGTCATTTTGCAACATATTCCATGCTGAAGGTGCAGAGTAGACAAAAGCCTTTTTACCCAATTCAGTACGGGCATATGGAACAGAAAGCAACAATTAGTCTTGCGAACGAAAGGAGTAAGGACCAGCACTTCTCTGTGCAATTAAGGAACAAATGTAGGAAGGCAGTAGACCAAGTAATGCCTTATATATAAAAGTATACCAATGACTGAGCCTTCAGGTGGCCAGAGCAGCCCATCCAACCCGAGAGTATAACTCACAGTGGTGTGTCAATGGTTTACAATTAGTAATGAACCTCAGAGAAGCGTGGTAGACAGTGTCAACCATATGAAGACATTTAGCAGAGGCATTCATATATAAAAGATCTCCATAATCCAACACTGGTAAAAAGGTAGCAGCAACAAGTCGCTTTTTTGCATTAAAAGAAAAACATAGCATAGCATATTTCGAAAGTAAAAACCCAATTTTATCCTCAGCTTCTTCACTAATTTCTCTATATGCGGCTTGAAAGTGAGGGAGGCATCAATCAAAACACCCAGGTATTTATACTCGTGAACCACCTCTATTTCATTTCCCTCAAGAGTGGTCACTGAGGGGATAATCTGTGGCCTCTTCCTAGAATTAAAGAACAGCATAAGGTTAGTCTTGTCTGCATTGAGAACAAGTTTCAGCTTAAGTAATGAGTGCTGGACAGCAACAAAAGGCCCGTTTCCACTGAAGAAGTTCCTGGTACTGTTTGGGGGGCAGGAACTACTACAGGAATGTCCTCTCGCTTGGCCCTCTCAACCGCCGTGTCTCCACTGAGAGAGCGGAGTAGGAGGAAGGTTCCTGTAAAGTTACGGGCTCTGGATGTGACGTAATCTTTGCGCGACCATTTTGACCGGGGGGACGTTGTTAGCTGTTAGCCGATAGCGGTGTCTGTAATAACTCAGTAAATGGCCCGTGAAAAAAATATTTTTTCCAGCGGATGTCTTAGTTACAACATGATTGAGTTATCTGGAGTAGTTTCATTTTGTATCCGACAATGGGAGGCTTTTAACAGATGCTGTTGTGAGCTGTCCCTGTCAGCTGCAGCCACTACTGATGCTTTCTAGACATCGTGATTTCCCAAAACTGAATAAATACCACACATAGCAACACAAAACTGCTTTGCTAGTTCAATCATGTTGTAACTAAGATATTCGCTGGAAAAATTATTTTTTTCACGGGCCATTTAGTGAGGTTTTTTTTACATGGCGGCGGAAGCTATATGAACAAGCTAGCCCTCGTCTGCTGAGTTTTAAAAATGCCGGCTATTTTGTGGCTTTCTGTTCACGTCACATCCCTCCTTGAGTATATCCAATCAGCACCAAGTAATCCCCAAGCCCCAGCCAGGAGTCTTTCGGGACTGTTCTGAGTACCTACCCCGAGGCAGGGACTTGTTTAGCCCCTGTAAAAGTTCCGGAACTCTGTCCTTAGGGGTTGGTTCCTGCGGTGGAGACACGCACCAACGGCCCCGGCCCCGTAAAATTACCCCGAAGTTCCTGCGGTGGAAACGGGCCTAAAGGCTTTCTGCAGGGATTCAATGGCCTGAACAAGAGTTGATCCACAGCAGTAAATAATTGTGTCATCAGCATAGAAATGCAAATTAGCATTTGTCACATTTATACCCAAATCACTGATATAAATAATGAATAAAAGGGGACCTAATACAGAACCCTGTGGCACCCCCTTGTGGACAGTAACAATATCAGAACACAGGCCATCATATTTAATGCACTGAGTCCTATTACTGAGATAGTTGGTGAACCAAGTAACTGCTTGCTCCGAGAGTCCTGATTGCAAGAGTCTAAGTTTTAAAATATCGTGGTCAACTGTGTCAAACGCTTTCGACAAATCAATAAAAAGAGGTGCACAATGTTGTTTCTTGTCAAGTGCAACAGAAATGTCATTTACCACCTTCATTGCAGCTGTAATGGTATGATGCTTTTTCCTGAAGCCTGATTGATAGTTCGATAAAATAGTCTTGCTCGCTCACAAGAGCTTCTAGAACTTTGGCCAGTACTGATAAATTAGATATTGGTCTATAATTAGTTAAAATCGCTGGGTCACCCCCTTTTAATAAAGGAATAAATTATTGCAAACAATTCAGCGAATGAATATTAAAACACAACCTTTGAGGGAATCCTTATACGTCCTTCATGGGAACAATATGCATGACGATTTCCCTTATTAGTCCCTCAACAGCAACGTTACGGTTGAACAAGTTTTACTGTAGCCATAAAATTTGTGATCATAACATTTTATTTCTATATTTATGAATAAAAAGTTCCTCACAGCAATGGCAGGCAGCTTTTCAAAATGTGCAAAACATCAGGTGTAAGTGGAAATAAAAGATACATGGGAAAGTTGTATAGGATATTTATAAGTTTTATAGGCCATCTTATCTTCCTGTCTTTTATTTTGAAGTTACTTCCGCCTCTGATGTCACCTGTCAACTTTTGTCCAAAAAAATAAATGAAAAAATGAATCTGCAAAAAACCAAAGTCGGGTTTTTCCATTTTTATTTCCAAAACAGAAAAACACTGTTTTTTTGTTTATCTGTATTTGTGTTTTTTGGTTTTTGTTTCAAAACAGAAAAACGGCAAAACAGATTTAATTTTTTGTTTTTTTTTATTTTGTTTTGAAACGGAATAATTAAAGAATGAACCATACACGGATTAACACAGGTCCGTGTACCATTTGTTCATTTGATTCAATGTCCAACAAAAAACAGATTTCGACTTCTATTTCAAATATTTCATTTAGTGCGCAGGTAAAAAATAGAACATTTAAAAAACGGTCTCAATCCCCTTTTTTAGTTTGATATTTAGTCTCATTTCTGGGGCCCAGAAATTACAGCGCATACTTAAAGCCCCTACAAGGAACTTTCATTTTGAGTTGATTTTGGCAACCCTGTGGACAAAAGCGGTAGTGTTTTGCCGGAATGAAGCCTACATTTCTCATGAGCTCTAGCGCATATTGTCGTAAAGACGCTTACCTGGCTTGCGCACGTGTTTGTTTTGGGGATGAATGAAACAACAAGACGGGAAAACTTTGCCCCCGCTCCTATCGGGGATCCCAGCTCACCTCTGCAGCACCCCAGCTCCACCTCTCCGGCGTAAGCGGCACTGCCGCTGGGGTAAACGCAGCGGTTGGCTGGTAAGGATGAAAGCCTGTTTGGCGAGCACTTCTACGGCTTCTTGGACTGAGTATGGAGCAGTGCCTTGCCTCTTTTTTTTTCAGCACTCGCTGGACCCTGTTGACGTCTGGCTGGTACCTGTCGACGGCCCGGATGAGGTGTTCCAGCCCCGATGAGGTGTTCCAGCCCCGCGGCCCCTGCTCTCCTCATCCCCGCTGGCGCGGGGTGAATCTGCGCAACCTGCGGCCTCTGTGTGTGGCTCCCCGGACAGCTAACGCCATGGACCGGCTCCTGCCAGGATTGGGCTGGTAAATGCTAGATCGCTAGCGAACAAAACGTTTATTCTGAAGGATTTCCTGACTTCCCGAGGATTGGATTTTCTCTGTGTGACTGAGACGTGGCTGACTGTTGGTGAGTCCAGTGCTTTCACAGGACCTTTACCCTATGATTGCTGCTATTTTAACTTCCCGCAGACGTCGGGTCGAGGAGGAGGAATAGTGACTATTTATAAGAGTCACTAAATGTAAGCAGCTCGGTAAGATGAAGTGTGCCGTCTGAGTGCCATAAATCACTTTGTCCTGGAAGCAACCTGGTGCGGACCCGGACACAGTTTCCTAAAGGTATGGATATACACTATATAGAAATAGCTTATCTTCACACCGATGGTCTCATTTGCTGTTGTAGGTCACGCACAGACATCAGCAGAAACAAGAGACTTTTGCATATCCAGTTAAAAGTTCCTTGTAGCGGCTTTAATTTACTGTCAATACTGATAGTAGGCTGTTGTTAATTGTGGCTGCCTTGGAATCCCAAGGATTATGCGCTTGTTGCCGCAACATAAAACATAACTTTGACTCTGTGATATCGCCATTGCTCTTGAAGGCTCTGCTAGATCTACAGTGATCCGATTCACAGCTTCCAAATGGAATTTCTCGGTCCACCTTAAATGTCGCATAACGCCTGTTGATGGCTGTATTCAGTCATTTTCAAGCTAATTCATGAACTGAACAACTGAACAAATACAGGGAAGATGCAATGATCAGTAGAGTGCAATTGTCCTACATTTTGAGCATTTTAACTGTAGCATATTTTTATTATTGTCCTTACTCATGGTAAACTGCTTTTCAGTTTTGCTATTTCTGCCTATTTACTGTGGTCTTGGTTGCTCTGTCTTAAAGTCTTAAGAAACTAATACTCCAGTAAACAGGCGGTGTCAAAGGGTATCATAATCCTGACTTTTATTCATTTTATTGTAGTAATTTTTTCTTAATGATCTCAAATAACATTGAGATCATTAAGAAATGATCTCAATTAAGAAATGGTCCAGATCACAAATCACTATACTTAGACTAGTCACATCTGGACTAGATCAACATGGAGAATCCAGAGACTCATTAAAACAGTTTCTGATTTGTGAAACCTTAATTGAGATCCAAATGAAAATGGCACATGGACCCGTGTACCCTTAGTTCTTTCGTTTTTCCATTTCAAAACCAAAACAGAAACACAGAATAAACATATTGTTTTTTCGTTCTTAATTGAAATTCAAATGAATGAATGGTACATGGACCTACAGGGATTGCTGTAAAGCCCTCTGAGGCAAATTGTGATTTGTGATATTGGGCTTTATTAATAAAATTGAAGGAAAAAAAAAAAAAACCTCATCGTGGAAAAATGTATGTGTTGAGAATCAAACAGCAAAACTGACAGCTTGCTATGAACCTGTGTTTTTTAGCCAAACATTTTTCTGACTAAAGAACATGCAGCTGTGTACTTCTCAGTAGTCTGTATAAATGGTGGCATTCTATGTTTATAGCTGTATAGCAACACATCCAGTGGGCACTAACATTCCAAACAAAAAGTGAACAGTAAAAGCATCACAGCAATGAAAAGCAAAGCTTAACCAACCTGCACAGTCTCCACTCAGTAGACCTACAGTAGGCTGGACTACAGTGTGGTCCATAGAGCGAATGACACGCAACACCAGTTTGGTTAAGCAGGCTTTGAATCCTTCAGGCAGCAGAGAGAGCAGGAAGAGAGGAAGGTAGGCCACATAACGCAAGTGACACAACACAGGGGTCATGACCTTCCCCTGAGGAGTCTGAGCCATGCGCTCGATGGTGGGAAACAGCATGATGGCCTTTATAATCTCAAGGAAAAAACAAAAAGGTTACAAAGGACACTTCAGCTGTCTTAGATCAACATGACACAAAAAACAGACACATCATAGGAGGAACAAATTCACAGGGATATCAAACTTGTAAATTATGGAAATCCCCAAAATACAAAATGGAGTTATTCTATATGTTTTAAAGCTGGAGTAGGCCGTTTTTCTTTGGCGTTATTGGGCAAAAGTCCCATAATAACCTTTGAGCATATTGTATTTAAATTGTACTGAGAGAAAACTAGATCTCTGCACCTGCTCTGGGTTCTGGTTTCAGGTGACAGGAGACTTTGGCCAATCACTAGGGTTGGGTACCGAAACTCGGTACTTTTTGTACTTGGTACCGATTCACGTCGGTACTACCGAGTACCGATTCACTTAAAATGAAACGGTGCCAAATTTTGGTACCTGAGGTGGAGGCGGAGCGAGAGTGCATGACTCACACCTCAGACTCAGCAACAATGGCGACAAAAACAATGTGCAGACAAAAGTTAACGTGCAGCACTGTTCCTAAATGTTCTCAATAAAATGTTGAAACTGAGAAGTTTAGACTATGGGTTGCTTTGCAGTGTAGGCAGTTGTTGCCAGTGCTGGAATAGCAACTCTCTCTGTGGGATTCTCCATCACTGAATCAGGCTTTCTCCCCCGTAAGCCTCCGTTAGGTGGAGTTGTGTTGCTACCCCCTCTCCCCTGGGATCTCCGGAAGTGTTGTGAGGACTCTAAAACTTCACCTGAGCCTCCCTCGGCATATGGGTGAGTAGATAATAGCTGAATTTTCATTTTTGGGTGCACTATCCCTTTAAGAGTTTTCCTTCCACAGGTTTCACTAACTCTTCTTTAATGAGCCACCCTGTGGACAGTAGGATGATTTAGATAGTTGAATAGTATATTGAAAATATTATAGTTTCCTCCCAAAAAAATTGTTGTGAGATATCGCATCCAACCTTGAGTTCAGGATTTCTCTTCATCATGTCAAGAATAATGTAGCAGCCAATGGAGTGTCCCACCAGGACCAAGCTGGTCTCTCTGGGAACATGTTTCCTGAGGAAAGCCAGCTTGTGTTCAATCTGCCCGTTCAGACCAAACACGTCACCCTCTACTGCTGAGGAGGCATCTGTAAAAAAAGACAAAAAAAGAAAAAGATAAAAATCTTAACTTGTCTTGGTCAAATTCTTACCGATTTCTCTATATTGTCTTTGGTGTCTTTGTTCAACTATCCTGAATTACTCATTCATAACAACATAACAAATTTTGAAATATATTGGGTTTGATGAACATTCCTGTTCAGGGAGCATAGTTATTAGAGCCCAACCAATTTATCGTCTGGCCAAAATGGGCCTGTCACAGACAACTGCCATGTCACTCATGTTTATCTGTTAGCTTTGTTTGCGAGGTAGCTACCCAGCTAAAGTTTGTTAGTACAGTCATGCAGCAGATTGAAAGCAAGGCATCAGAGCGTCTTTCTGCAGCTCAGTGGGTGAAGGTTTGAGTCCGCTGCGTGTTGACTTCACATTATGTTGTTACCTAGTTGGTGAGACACAATGCTGGAAAGTAAATAAACAATGTTCCCATCTTGTACGCTACATGAAAATGAGCTAATCATACTCATTTGCTACATTAGCTAACTAGCTGTAGTGTTATCAGAGTTGAGTTGTAGTATATCACTGCCACCTAGAGGTCAGAGACCGAGAGTGTCTTGTAATCGGTGTGTTGTTGTTAAAAAAAAAAGTAAAGTTGCCAAGTTAAACACAAGACGTGCAGTCCGAGCCGTCACTCTTTCTTGTATCACATCATAACATGGTGTCAGAAGACTTTGTTCAAAACGGAGAAAAGGACCTGCCAGTTTCATTTGTGTTGCAGCCGTGCTGATTGCAAAACTAAGTTAAGCTAATGTTAGCAAGCAAACAATCTAACATACCGGGCGCAGCAGACGGGGAAAAAGAAAAAAAGTGAGCAGCCATGGATTGGTTTCAAGTGCCTCCACCACCCAGCTTCAGTTTCACAAAGTCAGAGGAATGGCCCAGGTGGATTAAAAGGTTTGAGAGGTTCAGGATAGCTTCCAGTCTGGAGCTACAGCTGGAGGAAAACCAAGTGAACACTCTAATATATACCATGGGAGAGGAAGCTGAGGACGTGATAACCTCACTTTGCTTGACGCCGGAGGAGATAAGTGAGTTCAGCACTGTCACAGCTAAGCTGGAAGGACACTTTGTAGTTCACAGAAATATTATTTTTGAACAAGCCAAGTTCAATCAGAGACAACAAGCCATACAGGCATATAGCTTCCTGTTCTGAGGCCACAGAAGCGAGAAGGTCATCAACATAAAAACTGTGCATGATGGTTTCAAACACCTGCTGGCTGAGCAAAATTAGCACAGCTTGGGGAAGATGTAGCCACAAACAGATGGACAACCATCCTGTACTCCACCATACACTGGCTAAAGTCTCCATTGGGCCACCATAAAATCGTAACAGGTCTGCATCTTCCTCTGGCACTCGAACCTGGTGAAACATGGCCTCGATGTCGGACATGAGAACAATAGGTTCTTTCCTGAATCTAGTTAAGACACCAATCAACATGCTTGTGAGGTCTGGTCCTTGCAGGAGATGTGCATTGAGTGAGGCCTCTTTGAATGATGCTCCACAATCAAAAACAACACGCATCTTCTTTTTTTAAGGATGGTATACTCCATGATGAGAGATATACCAAACCTTGCCATCACTGCGCTTCAGATCTGTGTCTGGCACTCTTTCTACAAAACCACTTGCTATGAGGTCGTTCATGAATGCAATGTAGTCCTTGTGGAACGATGGCTCCCTAACAAACCTCCTCTTCAAATTAAGAATACGTTGCTCGGCAACTATGCGGTTGTTAGGCATGCTGAAATTTCTGTCTTTAAGAGGCAAAGCAATGCTGTAATGGCCATCAACCAGTTTCACAGATCTGTCAGCCATTTCCAAGAACCTGCAATCCTCCCTTGACATCCCCAACAGTTCATCTTGGTTGTTCTCAGGGAAGTCTGTCTTAAACTGTTTATTCCAGAGCTCATCAAGTGTGATGGCTGAAATTCTATTGATAGTAACTGCTGAGTGGCACCCAGGACTATCAGTGCATCCACCAAGTGGTCCATTTACTGTCCAGCCCAGCATCGTCTTGACAGGATATGGCCCTCCATCCACGCTCCTAATAACCTCCAGGGGCTCCAAAGCACTGGGGACATTTGTGCCTATCAGAACCTCCTCATCTGAATCTATTTCTGGCAAGCAGACATGTTTCAAGTGAGGCCATTTTCCCAAGTCCTGCTGTCATGGGATGTTGCTTCTGTCGACAGGCATCTCATGTTGTATGAAGAGCTTTGGTATTTCACAATACACATCACTGTCCAACAGGGTCCAAAACTAACACTCGCCAATTACGGGTAGATTTTGTCTCTGGCTGGTAATTTTTTAAGACCACCTGCCACTCTGGTGAGTTATTTTTTTTCCAGCGAAAAATGCATTTTTTTGTTACTGGAGAACAATGCTGGTATCGGCTGGTTTCCTGGCAGAGTAATGTGTATTTCAGGCAGAGACGATCTTTGGTCACGTACGTTAAGTGCGTCACATGCATTTGCAACTAAAAATAGTTTTGTGCGAGCAAAAGAAATCATTCAGGAGCACGCTGTGTGAGTAGGCTACAGATTTCAACCAGCAGCAGGACGAAAGGCGAATCCTGCCGGTTGTGGGTTGAACGGGGGTCACAGACACAGACAGGAATACGTATTCCTGTCAAATACGGTGGCCATGGTGCTCCTTGGTGCAAGATAACAGCTTACCGGCGCAAGAATCCCGCCTCCAGGTCAAATAATTTCCTCTTTCGTTGGTGTCATTACTGCCCAGAAGTACCTGAACAGCTGAGCCATGGTGGCACACAGGTATGTGACGTGTCAGAGGAGAAACAAGCCGTTCACATTACTCTTTGTGGCAGGTAACGGTCCACAGACCTCACCGCACTTTAGGGACTGTTCTTTACTTGTCAGGGGAGGAGGGTGGCTGGCTGATTTTAATTTTATTTATTTTATTTCAATCCCTGCTATGTTAATCAGTTGGTGCAGTTTCACTTAAGTAAAAAAAAAATGACTGAACAACTTTCACTTGTATTGGAGTAATATTTGACCAAGAGTATCTTTACTTTCACTCAAGTCACTGTTGAATACTTTGTCCACCACTGGTCAGACATTCATGTTTATATACAGTACAGGCCAAAAGTTTGGACACACCTTCTCATTCAATGCGTTTTCTTTATTTTCATGACTATTTACATTGTAGATTCTCACTGAAGGCATCAAAACTATGAATGAACACATGTGGAGTTATGTACTTAACAAAAAAAGGTGAAATAACTGAAAACATGTTTTATATTCTAGTTTCTTCAAAATAGCCACCCTTTGCTCTGATTACTGCTTTGCACACTCTTGGCATTCTCTCCATGAGCTTCAAGAGGTAGTCACCTGAAATGGTTTCCACTTCACAGGTGTGCCTTATCAGGGTTAATTAGTGGAATTTCTTGCTTTATCAATGGGGTTGGGACCATCAGTTGTGTTGTGCAGAAGTCAGGTTAATACACAGCCGACAGCCCTATTGGACAACTGTTAAAATTCATATTATGGCAAGAACCAATCAGCTAACTAAAGAAAAACGAGTGGCCATCATTACTTTAAGAAATGAAGGTCAGTCAGTCCGGAAAATTGCAAAAACTTTAAATGTGTCCCCAAGTGGAGTCGCAAAAACCATCAAGCGCTACAACGAAACTGGCACACATGAGGACCGACCCAGGAAAGGAAGACCAAGAGTCACCTCTGCTTCTGAGGATAAGTTCATCCGAGTCACCAGCCTCAGAAATCGCAAGTTAACAGCAGCTCAGATCAGAGACCAGATGAATGCCACACAGAGTTCTAGCAGCAGACCCATCTCTAGAACAACTGTTAAGAGGAGACTGCGCCAATCAGGCCTTCATGGTCAAATAGCTGCTAGGAAACCACTGCTAAGGAGAGGCAACAAGCAGAAGAGATTTGTTTGGGCCAAGAAACACAAGGAATGGACATTAGACCAGTGGAAATCTGTGCTTTGGTCTGATGAGTCCAAATTTGAGATCTTTGGTTCCAACCGCCGTGTCTTTGTGAGACGCAGAAAAGGTGAACGGATGGATTCCACATGCCTGGTTCCCACTGTGAAGCATGGAGGAGGAGGTGTGATGGTGTGGGGGTGTTTTGCTGGTGACACTGTTGGGGATTTATTCAAAATTGAAGGCACACTGAACCAGCATGGCTACCACAGCATCCTGCAGCGACATGCCATCCCATCCGGTTTGCGTTTAGTTGGACGATCATTTATTTTTCAACAGGACAATGACCCCAAACACACCTCCAGGCTGTGTAAGGGCTATTTGACCAAGAAGGAGAGTGATGGAGTGCTGCGGCAGATGACCTGGCCTCCACAGTCACCGGACCTGAACCCAATCGAGATGGTTTGGGGTGAGCTGGACCGCAGAGTGAAGGCAAAGGGGCCAACAAGTGCTAAACACCTCTGGGAACTCCTTCAAGACTGTTGGAAAACCATTTCAGGTGACTACCTCTTGAAGCTCATGGAGAGAATGCCAAGAGTGTGCAAAGCAGTAATCAGAGCAAAGGGTGGCTATTTTGAAGAAACTAGAATATAAAACATGTTTTCAGTTATTTCACCTTTTTTTGTTAAGTACATAACTCCACATGTGTTCATTCATAGTTTTGATGCCTTCAGTGAGAATCTACAATGTAAATAGTCATGAAAATAAAGAAAACGCATTGAATGAGAAGGTGTGTCCAAACTTTTGGCCTGTACTGTAGGTCAGGCCCTGCTGTTGCAGTCTGGTCGAGCTAAAATCTTATGTCTCAACTGTCCACTGAAGTCAGTGATTCATGTAAAATTCCTTAATGAAAGATTCTTTTTGCACTGTAGTAAGAATATTACAGAATTTATTAACCCAAATATTATACTTAACTGTTGAAACAGTTATTCATATTTTAGCATACATTATTACTAATATTAGTGCACACTATTAAAATATTGATTGAGAATCACATACAAGACCCAAAT